GGGCAAGGTGTGAGAAAATGAACAGATGAACCTTGGGAAGGCGGCGTTTGGTATAATTTTAAGATAAAATGAAGGGGGCAGGGGGAACTTTTAGACCGGGTTTTTATGTAAACAAAGAGGAACGCTACTTAAAAGATATGAAGTGCAAAGTGGAATTTGAGTGTCAACTCAAGATTTGCTCTGAGACTGAGGAGAATTTCTGAATCGCGGTAAAGTAAAGTAAAGTTTGTCCCACTATACGCCATGTAGGCGTTTGGGGTGAGTGGAGGTATAGCTCCTCTCTTCCTTGACCCCGGCACTAGATGGGGGTGAGTGGTCAGCATTATGCCCCGGCCGGCTTTACCCCCGGGAAAGGACCCCGGTACCCATTTTAGAGGAGGCTGGGTGGGCCCCAGAGCCAGTCTGGACGCAGGGGCTAGAGGAAAAATTCTCTGCCCCCGTCGGGGATCGAACCCCTGGTCGTCCAGCCCGTAGCTAGTCACTGTACTGACTGAGCTATCTCGGCTCATGAATCGCGGTACCAACCCAAATAATATTTAAGAATTCAGTCCGTACCGCGAAGAAAACACAACTCTTCACCATTACGAAGATCAACTGGTTAACCCTTTGAAGCCTAAGCTCGTCTAAATAATATTTAAGAATTCAGTCCGTACCGCGAAGTAAACACAACTCTTCACCATTACGAAGATCAACTGGTTAACGCTGTTTATAGTTCGAATGATACGAAGGAGATAAATAAGAAATTGAACTGTTATGTCTTTCAGTAACAGGCTCCTCAACTCCCCCACATCCACAGCAGACAAAATTGGTTAGTCAGAGGAGACAATACAGATTTTTGGCACAAGTTTCAGAATTGGCCAAACACTTGGCGCGCTGTGAAGGTGACAGACATTTGGCATTGAGCCGTCTACGTCTTCCAAGGCTTCGAGATCTGCTCCGGCCCGGGTGGTTTATACAACTCCGTGCGACATTTGTGCACCACGCACGTGGGATATCTGAGAGGAACACGTAACTTAGAATCTGCACTCAATTTCTTCCGCGTGTAATAAAACACGGAGGTCCTGATTCGAAGTTCCCACTAGTGTCGTAAAATTTTAACCAAAATTGAAATGGAACGACAATTTTTCGTAAAACTACACAGTGTAACATTTTATTAATATACCTTTGTTAATTCTACAGCTGTTACATGCGTACGGACGAATGGACGGGCAGTGCAATTTTAATAGACACCTATAAACTACTCAATCACAAGAAGTCGGCACATTATACAAAAAATTCAGGTTTAGATCTCGCCAGGATGTACAAATTAATTTTGACAGCGAATACATTAAACCAAACACACGGACATTTACTTTGCGACCAAGTACTGTATAGGCTACCTGCTGAGTGATTAATTCTGCAATAACATATTTATACTAAATGAACACATTCTACAAAACAAAATGAGTTACAAAAACCTCGAAAAATATATGTGGAAAATACAGAACACCTTTCCACACTGATAATTTATAGTCTTTTGTTAGTAAGTAATTTTTAAATAACGAAGGATCTCCTGTAAAAATAGTTTTTTTATACCAGGAACTTGAAAAAAAGTCGTGTGCCGATTTAAGGTCCAATATGGCCGACTAACTGTTATAAACTGATTAATATTGGTTTGTAAAGTAACGAAGAAACGGACAGCTATTTTGCTGCTGGCACGTTAAACTTGGCCTACAGAGGCTTGTGTAACGGATCTGGCGAGAATCCAGCTGCTAGGAAGTCAACTAACATCATCACAGAGTGATACTACTCGCACCAGTCAATGACATTTTGTGCGTAAGTGTAATTAATTGCATTGCAAAAAGATGCAAATATATTATCTAAAAAAACAGGATGAACACGTCACACCTTTTTAAAGTCTTCATTTTCTGTGAAGCCTGTACTGTTATATAATATCCAGGTCATGTGTTGGCAATTTTTTAAAGGTGAAGGACGTACAAAAGTGACGCAAGACGCCTGATTTCGGTGGAGGGGACACATCACTTTATTAGAAGGTTCCCAGGCTTCGACCGCTCGTCCTTCTGATAAGGGTAGTGTAGATGTGAAGCCATTATATTAGCAAGGAATATGAGCTGCTGACAGCTTAAATTATTTTCTTCCGAATTTAATCATTTCTAATCCAGAAAGACCTCATATCCCGAAGGATTAAATAGGGTGGTCACTGACTCCCAGGATGTAGATTGATTGCATAATTAAATTAATCTGAATAACATTTTAAAAGACACGTTCCTACCTCAAAGAAAACACAACGTTTCTACATTACAAAGATCAATTAATTTTACACAGTTCATCTTTGTAATGGTAAAGAGTTGTGTTTTCTTTGCGGTACAGACTAAATTCTTAAATATTATAAAGACGAATAATGGTTAAATATTGATCAAATCCCCCCTACTCCATTTTTTAACCCATCCTGTCTCCTTCCAAATCCCTTACTAAACTTATTCAAACCAGAAGGACGAGTGGGCACTACCTGGGAACCTTCGTAGCCTCAAACCAACTTTATACCCCCCCCCCATTTATAACAGTAGTGCCTATCGCTACTCCCACCTCTCTCTCTCTCTCTCTCTCTCTCTCTCTGGTTAAATAACAAAACAAATTTCCTGCAAATAATTTTGCAAAGCGCTTGCACGGTTGAACACTACCAAAAATATTGGACGTGACTGTACTCCCCCAGCCTCTGGATCTCCATCATTTCATCCGCAAGAGGAATAATTCTTGTCTCGTTTCTCATTGTTGGTAAGCCTGATTGCAGTGGAAGAATGAAAGGCCGTCGTTTTGAACAAAAGAATTCTATTTTCTTTTTTTGTATTTTGGAGAATGAAAATCTGAAAAAAAAGTGGCGATTACTGGTACTAGCCCTGAAGGCACGTTGCTCAATGGGATGCCGTTGGCTTGAGGGGAGCAAGGCCCGAGAAGGGGTTGGATTACACATGAAGACGTTTCAATGGGAGATAATTACAACGCAGACACACTTGTCAAGGGATAAGGGAACAGAGGGAGATGATGAGTTAAAAGCAAAGGACAGTGTACTCCAAAGTGGAGTATAGCCTACTAGATGCGTTCTTTGAAAATTTTTATTCATCAATTTCGACGATTATCTACTGAAGATAAATTGATGTCGATGTTGGTTCTTATGAGTTATAACGCAACGTAGACAGAGAAACACGCTGTCTCGATATTCGGGGCTGAATATGGATTAAGCATGTCGCTACCAAAAAGTTGACGATGGAGGCAGAATGCTCCTCCTACAAGTCTGCACGGAGTTAAAATTCAGAAGACAGTTTCTCCTCTCTCAGCAAACAATTAGCATGTCTGACCACTCTTAGTTTTTGTGTGGTTGTTTTGTCATGATTCTCGCTTTACTGACACCGCTTGTTTGTCATGATTCTCGCTTTACTGACACGAATAACAATTCCTAAATAAATATGACGAGCCGCCCCAATCAAAAAACTGCCCCTTTCTGATCTCCTGTCTTCCTACAGGGTTACTTCGCATCTATGACGGAAAGTGTGTTTATTTCTGTGGGTCTCTCCCTCAACCAAATACACGCAACCCCCTCCCCTGCTCACCCCCCAAAGCATTCCAACCACTAAACTATTTTATAAATGCAACGTTTCCACTTTTGCGAGTCTTTGCTATAAGATATAAGAATTTATCACCACCTGTACCAACTACACCCCCCCCCCT